TACATTCAGCAAATCATATACCTTATTTCATTACAATGGTTATAATCCCCTCCATGTACCATCAGTTAACAGTATTTCTCTCTATTCACTTTAGCTCATTTTTTTTTTAAGGCACTCAGGTTTATATAATAATTTACACCACCAAAGGACACATTCTGCAAATCTTCCTCCTGGCCGCCAGCTTTCAGTTGCTCTCTTCCCATGAATCTAGAGTCCTCGGTTACTCCCTCTCTCCATGTCCCCATCTTTGCCTCCATCTCTGGTGTCCCGTTGCCTTCTTACCTGCATGGTTTCTGTTGAGAAATCCAAGCTTAGTCTGATTTGCTTGCCTTTGTATGTTACACTTCGCTTTTCTGTAGCTGCTTTCAGGAATCTGCCCTTAACTTTTGATTTTGGAAAGCTTCATTATTATATGTCTTGGTGATTTTCTTTTAGGGTCTAGCCTTCCTGGGGTTCGTTCAGCTTCTTGGATGCTTATCTTTGAGCTTTTCAGGATGTTCAGGAAATTTTCTTCCAGGAGTTCTTCAACTATCTCCTCTGTGGACTTGTGTGATTGTTCCTGTTCTGGAATGCCATTAGTTCTTAAGTTATTCCTCTTCATGTTATCCAACATGAATCTTAGACCTTCTTCAGATTTTTTTCATCCTTTTTTTTCTGTTTGTTCTTCTATCTTAGTGGTATTGAGAGATTTATCTTCCAGCTCACTAGTTCTGGCTTCCATCTCTTCAGTTCTACTCCTTTGCCCTTTTAGTGTATTGTCTGTTTCTGATATTCTATTATTAATCATTTGGATCTTTTTCTGTAGGTTTTGAATAGTTTCTAATGGTGTATCTATCTTATTTGACTGTTCTGTAGCGTTTTCTTGACTTCTTCCTTATTTTTCTCAACTCCATTGTATAATGTTTTGATACATTTTATAATAATTTTTCTGAATTACTTCTCAGGCATTTCCAAAGCCTGCCCTCCTTCAAGTATGGAGTGTATGTCTACCTCCAACTTGTCTCAGTCACTTTATCTTGTTTCTGGACATATGCTGATATGGTCACTTGTTTTTGTTTTTTGGGCATATTCAGTGGTTAGCTGTGGCCTTAAAACTTCGATGGGTGTGTTTTGGTATTTTTTATGTTTTCTGATTGCCTCAGGTAGATGTGATCAGGAGATGGCCTTCCCTTTTCATTCCTCTTCCTTTATCTCCATGGTTCTGTCATGTGTCCGTGGCTTCTCTGATCTTTCCCTGGTTCGGTCTCGCCCAAGATGGCCACTCAGGGAGCAGCTGAGTGCCTTGGATTAGAAAGCACTGGATTTCTTGCTTCTGCTACAAATTCCACTGTCTGTAAGCTTTTCAGCTTTCTAAATATTCCTTTATAAGTGGTTCAGAGTTCTGGGCCCATCCCCTGAGCCTACTTGGTCCGGTGTTCTGTGTTGTTGCTGATGGAGTGCCTCACTGCGCTTCCACCCTATCTGCCATCTTGTTTGTTCTCCTTATTTTGTTTTTAAACAAAAAAAGTTACACCTTTTCTTTGAAAGTCTTTTTTATCTAGACAGATTTTTGCACCACCTTCTGATAAAAGGCATGTTATTACAGAGACACAGTTGAGTAGTTTACTTGGTATAGAGGATCCCATTGTCAAGGGCAATAAACAAGTCTAGATACACTTTAATTTGAGAGAGATGTAGGGCAAAAGAAGAAGACAGATATATAACTCCTTGGTGGTGCTCTCAAATTAGCTGCCAAGTATTCTTGTGTGGGAAAAATGTGTTATAAACCTAATAGTAATCACAGTAACATTCTCATTTTGAGAAAACAGTAACTTGGGTGTGGTAGAAAAGAGGCACTTCTAGTGTTTTATATAGTTTGGATTCTAAAGTGAGCAAGTTAATGTTTCCAAACTGAGTTGACAGTGTCATGTTACTAAAGTGTATCCATTCTTTACTGCAGTCTTTCATTGGTATGCAAACAAAGGGGAGTAAATATTTACAAGAAAATAAAGATGAACAGTATTCACAAGTTCCCGAGAGGTGTTCCTTCATGGTAGGTAGTTGTGCCCCCTCACCACATTAACGGTACTGCATCCAAAAACAACACAGGCAGCAGATGCTTTCCTTAGTAGTGGTGCTCGCCACTCGAGGGCTTTGGGGTGGCCCTGGAGAATCTCCAGGAAATTCCACACTAGCACCCTATTAAGCACCTGCCAGTGGTTTTACGTCAGGCACTCGTTCACAGAAATTCCACTCTCCTACCTCTACAGCAGGGTGATGGTATCCACTTTCTCAGTATGGGCCATGGACGCCAACTAGTGGCCAGCAAGCACTGCCTTCTCTTTATCTGGATTCCCTGTGGACCCCAGCTGAGGTTCCAGCCCCTCACCACAACACTCCCCATCACACCTTCAAGTTTCCTCCTCCCATCTGCATGGGGGCTGCATTCTGCAGGTGCTGGGGACGGGCTACAACAGGCTCATTTTGTCCATGGTGGTGGCACTGTGGCCGTGATTTCCCTTTCAGTATCTCCTAATTTTAATGTCGTTCTCATGCCTTACCATCCTTTTGTAGCCCACAGTGCTCTTTGATAGTGACATTTGACTACTGTAGTTTAGTAGTGAGGTGCAGATTGGGGAAGCATTTGCTGTAGTTAGTCTGTAAGACCTGAGGGTCCATTCTCATGGTAAGGGGATGGGGATGGTTTTTTTTTTGGCTTTGTCAGGGTTTTGTTGAGTCTAGTCAGTGTTGCTCCAAGTACATGGATTATGTAGTGTGCCTCCATTTTACGTTTGTTCAGCATGATGACGTTTATTGCAGTAATATTTGTTGTAATGGTTTTTTACCTCTAATAGTAGAGCATCTAAATTGCCCACCATCCTGTCCTTAGCTGATGGGCAGCTGTGGTAAGAACTGACGTATCCCTCCTGGTGGACTGAAGAAAGCACAGGTCTGGGAAGGTGTTTGCTTCCTTGGCTGATCAAAGGCGAATCAGAACGTCCTTCAGATTTTGACTTGCTGTGATTTTACTCCTAGAATCAGTTGTTCGGGTTTGCTTTTAGGCTGTAATATTTTCAGTGAAACAGACTGTCTCAGGTACAAAATGGATCGATTTGTTTTACTGTTCACAGGCTATAACTATAAAAATTCCTGTTATACTTCTGCAGGGAACTTAGTTCTTGTTGATCTTGTTTGGATCATCTTTTTAATGGGACATTGTTGTTAAGTGCCGTCGAGTCGGTTCCGACCCATAGCGACCCTGTATAGTAGCTGGTGGTTATGTGCCATGGAGTCGGTTCCGACTCACAGCGACCCTGTACAGGATTTCCAAGACTGTAAATCTTTACGGGAGCAGAACGCCTCATCTCTCTCCCGTGGAACAGCTGGTAGTTTTGAACTGCTGACTTTGTGGTTCGCAACCCGATTCGTAACCACTACGCTACCAGAGCTCCTGTATAGCAGATGAAAAAGGCTGCAGGTGCGTACCTCACCCTGCTCCCTGTCCCCAGGAGCCTTTGTCTCCAGGTGAGAAAGCAGCAGCATTGTGTTGGGCAGGCATTGATGTTCCGCCTATTTCAGGGCCTCCAGGGAACTCGCTGTCCACAGCTGGCTCTGAGGGCAAGACTGACGACCTTCTCCCAGTGCTTATGGTCACAGCCACCCAAAGGTACCTGTCCCTACCCCCAGCGAGTAGCATGAGGCTGCTGGCATGGTGTCCTCTGAGACCCCAATCCCCAGGTGCCCCTACCCGCGGTGCTCCTTGCTCTGGGCCTCATAGTCAGTGACAGTTGCTGCGTTTCTGCATGTGCTTTGCTCATGCTTGGAGGTAGAGTAGTGATGTGGTGAGGCGAGTCAGCATGGAGCGTGTGGTCCATCTCCAGGGCAGGCTGGGAGGTGAGACATGCTGCTTGGGACCAAGGGGAGCTGGTGTCCTTCTCACCCGTCTGTCCTAAATGGACCTTGTGGTGATCCGGGTCTTTAGTTCTGGAACCTCATCATTTTGTCCCTAAGGATTTGAGAAGTACTTTAAGCGGAATGGAAGAAGTACAGACTCAGAAAAGTCCGCGTCTGCCTGTCAAGGTAAGAAGGCCAGCCTGGTTCATCAGACTGCTATCCACTCCAATGGTCTTGTAGTGTTTCCTGGATTAAGGCTTGATCTCTGTGGGCAGTGGTGGCAGGTGGTCTGTGCTCTCCCCACTTTGGTTGCTCCTGAAGGTGTGTCTGTAACTCAGGAGCAAGTGGTGGGTGGGCCCGTGGCATGGAGAGTGGCCACTGCCTCGGAACCCTTCCTGTTCTGCTGTCCCTTACCCAAGGGACTGGGTTTTCTGTAAGCTCCGGTTAGTTTCCCAGGTGACATTTGACTGACTTACAAGTTAGCAATAATTGGCTGTAGTTTCGAATTTCCCCCTTACTGTCACTTTGGAGGTTTTTATCAAAAGAATAATTGCTGGTTTAGTTTTCTTATGAACCAGAGGGCTTTTCCTTCCCCCTTGGGTGTGCCTGGATTTGTAGGCTGTGTATGTGTCTGGCCCCTGAGATGGAGATGTGAGGGCAGACAGACATTCCCTGAATCGTAGACTCCAATTCACACCTTCCTTCCACCTGGCAGAGTTCATGGTGCATGTGAAGATGAGTGAGTTTGTCTCAGGAAAGGGACTGTACTGTCGCCCTCTCTGAGAAGTGAGACCTTCCCAGAAATGCCCGCTGGCCAGCAGTCTCATGGTTTTCTTTTTATTTCCCCAAATTGGTGGCAAAGATGACCTTTAGCCACTAAAGATTGTGCTTAAGCTTAGTCTGAAGGCTGTTGTTATAAGTGCCGTTGAATTGGTTCTGACTGATAGCGACCCTATATAGGGTTTCCGAAGAGTGGCTGCTGGATTTGAACCACTGACCTTGAGGTTAGCAGTCCATTGCTTCTCCTGCAGGGTGAAGTTTGAGGAATTGTGATGCATCTGAAGCTACTCCTCAGCAATAGCTATTGTTTTTTCCTAAAAGATACGGTCAATGGATAGAGCACTTGGGCAGGAAGCATAGAGTAAGGGTGTGCTCTTTCAGAAGATCCTAGTGGGCCTGCTTGCATCACTCCTGAGGTGTGGGCACCAGCTCATTGGTGATTTCCCAGAGATTTCTAACTGTCTCGGGTGACTGCGGCTGTAGGAACTTCTCCCTGGCTTCCGACAGGACGAAGTCACCTTCCCCTTGTTGATCTTTATTTCCAGAAGACAACATGTTGTTAGAACCGTAGTTGGAAAGTGTCTAACTGTTCCCTGAATGCTCTCTTTGTGGTTATTTTCTGAAAGCAAGTTGTTTCCTTGTAGAAACTGGTGAACCAAAGGGCTCTGGGCCTGGGGGAGATGGTGGCAAGAGACGAGGCCGACAGGACAGATCTGATTGGTGGAGGCGGATGCAGAAGGTGGGTCTGTCTGTGCCTGGGGTAACCCACAGTGGGCTCCTTCTTTAAGAGATCTGGTTGCTGCAGGGTCAGATTTGTTTTGAAGATGAGCAAGTTTAAAGACTTGGAGAAAGGAATTTACTTATCTAAAATGTGTTGGGATTTGCATCTGAATTTTAAGTGGTTCAAACCTCAGTGTAGAGAGCAGTTGAGGGGGGTGTCTACCAATAAGCTTGTTTCATAGCGTACTGACCTCTTTCTCTCAGCATGCTGGGGCTGTGCATGGCTGGGGTGGGTTCTGAGAAACATTGAAAAAACCCGAGGCTGTTTTCATTGCACTTAGTGCCAGAGTCTTCCAACCTGGGGTATCAGGTGATCTCTTTCCTCCACAGGGCGAGCTACCCTGGGATGACAAGGACTTCCGCAGCATGGTGGTTCTGGGGGCCGGCTTTGCCATGGGAATTTTCTACTTCTATTTTCGAGATCCTGGAAAAGAAATCAGCTGGAAGCACTTTGTACAGTACTACCTGGCCCGCGGTCTGGTGAGGGATTTTACTGTCTGTACACATGGGAAGAGTACGCCTCGAGGTGCGCCCCACGTGGCTGCTGCGTCCCAGTCCCCTGGGTTAGACAAGACGCAGTTGCCTTTCCTAGGAGCTTCCCCAGTGAGTCTCAAGACGCCCATTATCTTGGTCTGAGTTCATCTGTGTGACCTTTGACTTCTAAGACTGTTCACGCCCTTGTCTTCAGAGTTCAGTCTCGTATCTGACAAGCTTTTCTCTCTCTTTGGGTGCTCCTGGCCACCAGGTGCCTGGATGGCTTGAAGTGCCCCCTGAGGGGCCTTGCAGAGTGTGGCATGGCACTGCCCTTTGTTTGTCCTTCAGGCACTGGCTAAGGAGACCCTAGCTTCTACCTCAATCAGTGATGGCCCTGGGAGAATCATTGTCCTCTCACCAAGCTCTGTGGCCGAGGCCTGGTCTTCTCCTGGTGACAGATCCAGAGCGTGGAGAGTAGATAGAAGTATGAACAAGGGAATAATCATTCCTCTCATTGTGCCATCTGTGCCAGCCTGCCTCAGACACACAGATGCTCACTGACCATTTCCTTCTCCAAGCTTAGTGGGTGCTGCAGGAGAAGACACTGGCCCCCCAGGCTTTTCCCTGGCCGGGAGATGCCACGAGGGCTGCCCCATCTCCTGTTCTTGCCTCGCTAGCCTACAGATTGCCTGTGCCTACATGTCACAGAAAAGAAGTTGAGCTGTTCAGTCGCTTTAAATATTTCACACCACACATACCAAGTGTCCCTAAGTGCCAGGAGCTTGTCTTGGGCGAACCCACATTATGATATGTGTGTGGTGATAGTGTTCACACTGGCCACAGAAGCTACATCGGCTTTGAGTTTAAACAGGAAACTAGGGTTACCCCTGTTTCACTTCATGACGACAAAATCCCCAGTTGTCTGTCTTCACGCTGCACCCACTAGAGCATGGGATGCTGAGCACAAGCGTGGAGGTGACAGGATGTCACCCGCACTTGGTTTTTGCTCCATTTCCGTGGTTCCCAAAGCTGGTAATTGGCATTCCTATCAGCGCTGTTCTTAGGACTGATATCAGCATAAGACATTTTATCCACATTTCCTTTGGACTCTTACCACTGATGTGAAATCTCGGTGCTCAGATGCACCGCATTTTAATTCCTCTCCCTGAGTTGGTTCGTGTTCATTAAAGTGGAAGTGGCAACACAGCCCAGACTACGAAGAAGCCCAGATTCCAAGAGTACAAAAGTGAAGTCAGTGCCTGCGTCTCATTGTGGGGTGGCTGTTCCCCACAGCTTCCTTCAGACTTCCTCCTTGTCCCCTCAGCTGTTGTAGATGGTACCTCTCTCTTTAGGTGGACCGTCTGGAAGTGGTGAACAAACAGTATGTACGTGTTATTCCGGTCCCAGGGACATCAGCAGAGGTGAGCTTTCTTATGATGGAAAGTATCCTTTTCTACCTTGTTTGTTGAATAAAATTCCCCCTAGTTCACCCTGACATCTCCTGTTTACATCCCTGACAAAGCGATCTCTTGTACAGTCGTAGCCACTGTTCAGGATGAAAAGACCAGGAAGCAGGAAGTCAGGGCAATTCCCAGCAGTGTTTGGGGGTTGATGTGCTCATCCCTGCTGTGGGGGTCAGGCCAGACCAGGGCTCTGCTGGAGGAGAATGAGTTAGGAGCCATAGTCCCTTCTTACCTGCCTGATCTGCTTTGGTATCTATTCTCTGCAGAAGTACGTGTGGTTCAACATTGGTAGCGTTGACACGTTTGAGCGAAATCTGGAGTCGGCACAATGGGAGCTGGGGATCGAGCCTGCCAACCACGCGGCAGTGATCTACACCATGGAGAGTGATGGGTAAGTCACGCCTGGGCTCCGGGACACACTGTGGGATGTGCTGTTTTCAAGTGCGGTACATCTGTTCACTAGTGTTTACTGTATCGTCAGTGAGAAAGATACATGTCTTAATTCTTGTGTTTTGAGAAACAGATTGAAGCGGGAAACTATTAGCTGTGAGCATTTGAGTAGTACTGGGCGGGAAAATGCATCCGTGCTGTGTGTCAGTTTCACAGCCTTTCGGAGCCTGGCTTTGGGACTGACATCCTGGAGCGCCTTAAAAATGCAGGTGACCCTTCTCACGTTCTGATTCTGTCGGGAAGGAGCACCTGCAGCCCCAAACACGGTCACTGTCCCATCAAGTCATGCTCCCCAAACTCTGGACCCTCTCTCATCCTGGCAGAATTCCCACAAGCAGCGTGTCCCTCAGATGACTCATGAGGAGTTAGGGTGTCCCGGGACTCCATGAGCTTGAGGTCAGGCTGATGTGCCACACTCTGCCATCATGTTGGGGTCTTGGGGACACCATGGCCCTGTGTTCTCCCCACCCCCACTCCACCTCGTAAAATGTGAGAGGCACAAGCTCTGACAGCCGCAGCCCCAAGTGGGCGTGGGGTCACTTCTCACTGCGGTGGTCTGAGGTGGGATGGGGCTGCCTATGAACTTGGGGAGTCGTGGTGGGACCACACTGAAGTGCTTTCTGGTCACTTACTGCCGACTCAGGTTTTGTCAGAAGGCTGGGTTTCTGTGGACCTAGTAGTTGGGGATTAGGATTAGACACCGGCAGCTGGAGGAATGAGAGGTCTTTGCGGCCGGGCAGCCTCTGTGTGTTGGCCAATGTTCTGTTTCCATTGATAAGAAAAGACAGGTAAATAGGAAGCTCAGTACAGAGTGGAGAGACTATGACACTCTGTTGTGGAATTGCTTGGCCGTGGTGACCACAGTCTCCTTGAGGCCACCTGCCAAGCAACCCTGGGTTCCATCAGGGTTAAATCGGGCAGACAGGTGAGGGCCTACCTGCTGGATGAAGCCAGAGTCTGCATGGACTTCTGAAAAGAAACTTTTTATAGCAAAATCAAGTTCTAGAGCAGCCTGTCCTTAAGTGGCCTGAAGGTGCCAGTTTTGGCCCACTGTCCCGAATAGATGTAATGTTGGTTCTCTTGGGTTTCCAGCTCTTTCCTGCGAAGCCTGGTGCCCACCCTGCTCCTGGTTGGGATCCTCCTGTATGCTGTGCGGAGGGGCCCAATGGGGGCTGGTCGTGGTGGGCGAGGAGGTGGTCTCTTCAGTGTGGGAGAGACAACAGCCAGGATCTTGAAGAATAACGTGGATGTGCGCTTTGCTGATGTAGCCGGCTGTGAAGAGGCCAAGTTGGAAATTATGGAGTTTGTGAATTTCTTGAAGAATCCCAAGCAGTATCAAGACTTAGGCGCCAAAATTCCCAAGGTACTGATTCATTGTCTCTGAGCACTGAGTGTTGGGGGCTGGGTCCATTTCTTTATGTGATTATTAATTATAATAGAAAATGTACCTGGTACATGCAGAGTAAAGCAGTGAAAAATCTATCATCCGATGTACTGGATCCTGCCATGTGTTCATTTAGGGTCTGGAATCAAGGAATAACATGTGCCCACCTCAAGCATCCTTAACTTGAAGCATGTACATGTGCGCTTTTGTTTAGAGGCCAACACTCCCTTTGAAGCCTGTATGGCCGCCTTTTCCCTGGGTGTCCACAGGCTGCGGCACTAGACAGCTAGTGCTAAACAACAGAGCCTCCTTTCGCCCCCCTCACTGTAGCCCTGGGGTGTCAGTTCAGTTCTGTGTATGCACTGCTGAGTGTTGACGACTGGGATGCTGGTGAGGGTGTCAGGTGATGAGGGTCTAAGACTGTAATAGCTGTGTCCCACCGTCCCCACGTTAATTCTCATGAGAGAGGGACTGTGCCCACAGGTGCTTGTATTTGAATGGAGAGTGTGTATGATGAACCTTGCTACCTGGGCATGTGTGGGCTCAGAGGGGCTGTGAGTCTGTCATGCTGCAGAGAGGGCATCTCCTGGGTGAGAAGGATTTCAGTACACCCCAGAGTTACCCATGTGGTGGTGAGATGGCACGTTTTTGTAAGCTCATTGTGACAGGGAGTGTTTCCTTGTGGGTCCTTTACCCAGGGATACCATCAGCATGCCCCTGTTTGCCCTCGTGCCTTCTGGGATATTCTTTGCTAGCAGGGAGGCTCCCGAGCTGAGGGCTTCCAGTGCACATGCTTTTGGTGTGAAGACTGCACGGTGGGCTAGGGGGTGCAAGGGAAGAAGGGGTGTTGGGGCATGGGGTCTGGTGCCTGTGGCCCTCCCCCCTCTCCCCCCTTGTGTGAGTGTTGTCTTTATTTTTGTTCTCAAAGACTCAGAAAGTCTCATGATGTTGCTTGGATTAGAAATGGAGACGTCCAAACCCTGCCCCTTTTAGAAATCTTTCCGTTTCAGGCATTTGGTAACCGGCGCCATGAGAGGGATTTTAACTGTACCAAGGATGATGCAGGACAGGGCGTTTGCAGTGCTGAGAGCAGGGTTTGGAGAGGCTCCATCTGTGTCTCCCCGAGGGCGTGTCCCTGGGAATTCTCCAGTGAATGGGAGCCACGGAGGGTAGTCACAGCTCTTGGTCTGTGGTGTCTGAACTCTTGACCTGGAGTATGCATTAATTTTGAAAGCAGACAAGATGAAAGAAAAGTCTCAACTATGTTAGTAAAGCCTAGTAGTGAGCTCTGCGAGAAAATTAATTCTCATCGAACACACGTGGAGACAGACCTACTGGCATCTTGTTCCAGGGAGCCATGCTCACAGGCCCCCCCGGCACGGGGAAGACCCTTCTGGCTAAAGCGACTGCAGGGGAGGCCAGTGTGCCCTTCATCACCGTGAATGGGTCTGAGTTCCTGGAGATGTTTGTTGGTGTCGGGCCAGCGAGGGTAGGTGGACAGAGGGGGACTGTGTGGGACTCTCATACAGAGAGCAGGGTGCACCATGAGCTTGTGAGGTAGAGTTGGCAGGAGGGCTGGGGGCCCATCTTATTCTAGAAATGTCTATTAACTTGGCACGGTTGTGATTCTGACTCAGACTCCAGAGATCAGGACTGGGACTGAAGGGGCGCTGTCTTTCTGTCTGCGATGGGCTCTTGTGTGGGTCCTCATAGGTGCGTGACATGTTTGCCATGGCCAGAAAGAACGCCCCTTGTATCCTGTTCATTGACGAGATTGATGCGATCGGCAGGAAGCGTGGCCGTGGGCACTTTGGGGGCCAGAGCGAGCAGGAGAACACGCTGAACCAGATGCTTGTGGAGATGGATGGTGAGTGGTTTGGCTCCAGGCCCAGTCAGGAAGCTCCCTGAGGAGCGTCCCAGATGATTCTTGAACATTCTGGAACATGACAGAGGAGGCATCTCAGTGCAGCTAAGATGAACCCAGTACTTCACAGTGGAGGGCTCTCCTGGGCTGGAACAACAGGAACCAGTGTTGGCAGGCATGTGCCATTGGGGTCCCTAGGTAGCTGTGTTAGTCCAGTGGGGGGTGAGTGGGGTCGGGTGGACACTTTGCGCCTCCAGCAGGTGGCAAGGCAGCTGTCTCATCTGCCTTAACTTTCAATTTCTCCACTTACCTCTTAGCAGCCGTGTGGGGTGAACCGAGGGTGGGGTGGTTCTAGAAAGACAGGTATAGATGTGCAGGACAGGTGTGCAGGTGGGGTGGCAGGGTGCTGCTCTCAGGCCAAGGAGTGAATAGGTGACCAGGTCTGGCCCTACCTTACAGAGACTTTGTAGCCAGCCCAGGGCCTTCTCAAGCTTTACCTGCTTCTCTGTGTCCAGGGTTCAACTCAACCACCAATGTTGTGGTGCTTGCTGGCACCAATCGCCCGGACATCCTCGACCCAGCGCTGATGCGGCCGGGTCGCTTCGACAGACAGATCTATATTGGTAACTATGCCTGGTCTCTGAGTTTAGTTTGTCCTGCCATTGTCCTCTCTGTGTTGGAACATGGCAGTTCATGAGCTCTGTGGGTGAAAGGACTTTGAGGAGACCCCTGAGAAATGAATGGAACATTCTGGAAGGTGGAGAGAGGCTTTAGTTGCTATCCTGATAGTTGGCAGTTTCCTCACCCAGACCTTTGGTGTCCTTGCACCTGCTCCCTGCTGCTCAGGTGGTTCTGTGTTTCTTACAGTCAGTGCTGGGCCTTAGGGAAGCAGGTTTCATTCTGACCAAAGGCCATGCCTTCAGAAAGGTGTTTTTCATGTGTTGGAGACCTAAATGTACCTGCGCACTGGGTCATTTCTGCCCCCACATCTTGACTGCTACAGGTGAACTGTTGCATCCTCTGCCATCTGAGATCTGCCACAACCCTCTCTCTGCACTTGCACCTCTTTTTTTTTTTTTTTTTTTGGCAGGACCCCCAGACATCAAAGGCAGGTCCTCCATCTTCAAGATCCACCTGCGTCCACTGAAACTGGATGAAAGCCTCAGTAAGGATGCTCTGGCAAGGAAGCTGGCTGCACTCACCCCGGGATTCACAGGTGAGTGCAGACAGACTGTAGGTGGGGGTGGGCTGGGGGGTGTGTTTCCTCTGCGCCTGCACTGGCCAATTGACTGGTGAGCATGTGTCACCCTTATCTTTAGAACTTTGCTTCTGTTGGGAAATGTAAAAGGCCTCAGGTGACGTTTCTCATCCCAAAACTAGCTCGTATCTTTTTAAAATTCTGTATTAATGCTCTTTAGACTTAGAAGTCTTCATTGCATAAAACAAGGTAGCACTGAGTGAAAATTCTCGTGTTGCATTTTTTTTTTGTTTTTGACTTCAACTCCCTACTCTTCTTTGCTTTCCTCTCTTCTTTTCAAAACCCAAGGTGTACCTTTCTTTCCAGTACAGTCTGTATCCCTAGGGCACCTCATGCCAGCAAACTGCGTTTTAGAAAGGGGGTTTGTGGTCTCTGAGTAATTATTCCTCAGTGAAGAAAGCTCAGACTAAAGTGGAGACAGAGGGCGGTTCCCGTCTCCTGCTCTGCTGAGGGTCTGGCCAGTCTTTGCTGGGGGCTTTGCTGGGGTAAAATGACCAGGCTCCACCCCAGAGGTGAGGTCAGCCCCAGGGCTGACCAGGACTTTGCTCTTCCGGGTCAGGTGCTGACATTTCCAACGTCTGCAACGAGGCAGCCCTCATCGCTGCCCGCCACCTGAGCCCCTCTGTGCAGGATAAGCACTTTGAGCAAGCCATTGAGAGGGTCCTCGGAGGTAAGCACCCCAGCCTCCATGCCCCCCACATACAGGATCATTGCCCAGATCTGCCGCAGCGTTCTTCCCTGAGAGCTGCAGCGAGAAAGTCAGTGACACACTTCCTGGGGAGTTGGAGAGTTTGTGGAGTGGTTCAGAGCTGGATTACAGGCTGACTGCCCGAGGGAAGACGGGTGGGCGGTTTCCCCTGAAGAGGTCCTAGAGAGGAGGAGGACCTGGGGAGACATGCAGAATCCTGGGGGCAGGGCTACTGCTGATGGCAGGGACTCAGGCCCTTCCTTGGGGGGTGGCCTTGGTCACCTGCAAGAATGGCCATGGTGAGGGTCTCCTAGCACTGGACCAGGGTATCCCATGTCCTGTAACACTTGTTGTTGTTGTTGTTAAGTGCCATCGAGTCGGGTCCGACCCATAGCGACCCTGTACAGGGTTTCCGAGGGTGTAAATCTTTACGGGAGTAGAAAGCCTCATCTTTCTCCCGCGGAGCGGCTGGTAGTTTCGAACCGCTGACCGTAAGGTTCGCAGCCCGATTCATAACCACTACGCTACCAGAGCTCCTATCTGGGTTTTAATTGAAGTGTAAACATGTAGAAAGGAGCCTTGGTGTGATGCTGTGGGATAAGCTTGGACCACAAGGTGGGTTTGAACTGCCATGTCGGCGGTTGGGTCAGAACCAACTTGATGGCACTTAACAACAACAAAAAAATATACAGAAAAGTACAGGATATGCCTGTGAGTAGCAGCTCCACTTCTGCTGTCCTGACAACTCTGAGCTGGGGAACCTGGGATTCCAGCACTGCCCTCTCCTCTGTGCAGTGACCTTGGGGGCACTTTCCTCACCCACCCCCCACCTTCCTCGTTCCCCTTGTTTCCCTTCGCCTCCCTCATCCCTGCGCCCTCAGTTCAGGGCTGCATCCTCAGAGGCTACGGGGATCTGTTAGGCCCGCTCGGACGCTTGGATGCCCATGTAATCTGTCCCCACTTGGCCACAGTTGTCATGGGTGCTGCCGGGTGATGGTGCTTCCCTGGTACCTATTTCCAGGTCTCGAGAAGAAAACGCAGGTCTTGCAGCCCAGTGAGAAGACCACTGTGGCCTACCATGAGGCTGGACATGCCGTGGTGGGCTGGTTTCTGGAGCATGCAGACCCCCTGCTCAAGGTTGGCTCCCTCCCCAGAGTGTATGCAGCTGCCTTTCCCCTCCATCCCCTGATTTCGCAAATACCCTTGTCTTCCACCCATACTCCTTTGCCTTCCTGGCCTTACGTGGATCTGTCAGGGTATCCCCGAGCAGGGGTTTCTTTTCCAGCCTTCCCGTCCTGTGATGTTGGTGAGAAGGGAGGGCCCGATGGGAGCGAGAAGTTTGGGGTACCCCCCAGGGTCTGCAGCAGGGTCCCCAGGAAGGATTGACAGTTGCTAGGGGTTACTTTGCAGGTGTCGATCATCCCCCGGGGAAAGGGGCTTGGCTACGCCCAGTACCTCCCCCGGGAGCAGTACCTGTACACACGGGAGCAGCTTTTCGACCGCATGTGCATGATGCTGGGGGGCAGGGTCGCTGAGCAGCTGTTCTTCGGACGGATCACCACAGGTGCCCAGGATGACCTGAGGAAGGTCACACAGAGCGCCTATGCACAGGTGTGACTGAGCATTGTTAGGTCAGGCATTGTTACAGGTGTGGGGCCATCACATGGACATCTTCTCAGGCATAGGTGTCTCGGGTGGGTGGGAATTATAGATATGTGGTCCGTATCACAGACTCACTTGACTCTCGGGTTTCCAGATTGTACAGTTTGGGATGAGCGAGAAGCTGGGCCAGGTGTCCTTTGACCTCCCACGCCAGGGTGAGGCTCTGGTGGAGAAGCCATACAGCGAGGCCACAGCCCAGCTCATTGATGAGGAAGTACGCCACCTCATCAGTACTGCCCATGCTCGGACCCTGGAGCTGCTGACTCGCTGCCGTGAGCAAGTGGAGAAGGTTAGTGGGCGGACGCCAGGCCATGGTCGGGTCAGGTCAGCCCTCACGCCTGCCTGTGGGACTGCTTGGCTGTGGGCTGACACATGTGATTCCAGGTGGGGCAGCGGCTTCTGGAGAAGGAGGTCCTGGAGAAGGCTGACATGGTGGAGCTGCTGGGCCCCCGGCCCTTTGCCGAGAAGACCACCTACGAAGAGTTTGTAGATGGCACCGGCAGCCTGGAGGAGGACACGTCCCTTCCTGAGGGACTGAAGGACTGGAACCAGGAGCGGACAGAGGGGCAGGCACAGGGCCAAGTGCAGGGAAGCCCCGCGTAGCCCAGCGTCTTTGCCGAAACCAATTAAACCCGTGGTCACCCCATCAGTGTGTCCGACAAGGCACTCAGCCCACTGGGAATCCCATTCCCCAAAATGCGCCCTCCATGGGGACTAGGATGCAGAGTAAGGGGGGCTCTGGAGGAGTGTGGGTGGGACTGAGGGTCTGTGTGACCCGACCCGGCCAGGCCCTAGCTACTCACGTGAAGAGGTATAGGGTGGGATGAGACCACACTCAGGAGAAACATGGGTACCAGCAGAGACCCTCAGGGTTGGTTGAGAAGAGGGAAGGTGCTGGAGTTTTAAGTAGTCCTTAGCTCAGAGGTGCTGAAGGAAGGAGAGAGAGCCTTTGGCCCAGCCACCTGGGGCTTCTCCCCCTCCCCCTCTGGGCCTGTGGTGCAGCAATCTGAGGATGAGGGAGCTTGGAAGTACCTCAGGAGACACCTGCGCCTTCACTGTTACTGTCAGCATCCAGCCCAGCCCAGGATGATCTGCGGGCCTGGGAGGGGCAGGTGGTTTTGCCTGTGTGTCACTATTGCCCCCACCACTGTCCTCCTTGGCCAGTGCACTGAATGGTGCTGAGGCAGAGGCCTGGATGAAGTGAGTGTCCTGGGGTGGCTGGCTGTGGTGCTCCCATTATAGTGAGGTGTCCGCAGAGTGGCTGGCGGAAGTTAGTGTATCACGCTGCCTTTGGTGGGTGTGCCCAGTCACCCCAAGGCATGCATGGGGGGATTGGGGGCCAGGGGCTGAGCTGGGTTAGCCCCTCGCATTGACTCCTTCACACTCGCTTTCCCAATGGCCCTGTCCTCATTCTCCAGCGCTTCTGGGCCCTGAGATCAGACTCGGAATTTTGCCTTAACGTTTCCAAACCGTTTGTCACGATTGCTTCAAAAATACAATTTCCAACTCAGGACAAGTTCAATTTCCGCTCTTTGTAAAATCTATGTCATTGGCTCCACCTTTGTCACAAACCCAGGCCATCCAAGCACTCGGGTTCCCTCTGATTGGGTGAGGGGCTCCAGCCTGCCTCTCAGTCTCAGGTTTGGGAGTCTCCCGGTGGGGGGGGTGTGCCCTTAGGGTTTGGCCATGGGGACAGTTCTTGTGGGTATAGGATTCGTTGACCTGGTCTCACTGGCCTTTTCTGGGGTGCTGCCTGCACTCCTTTCCCTTCCCTGTTCAGCTGTCCTTCCAGGAGAAGGAAGGAGGCTGACTCTGGCCCCCATCCCAGCTATGATGGCACAGTGCTTCACCTGCGTGGCAGAGGACGGTACACCTGGACCTCACCCGCCAGCTTGTGTGGAATGGCACCTAGGGACTCGAAATCCAGGGCGCCTGTCCTAAAAATGTGACCTGGATCACCACAGCTAAGCGCAGTGTTCCCACAGATTCTTCAGAAGGGTTTAAGAGAGATGCCACACTACTGGCACCCCTTGCCCGCGCCCCCATGTCAGAAAGGAAATGGGCCTCATGAACAGGACAATGCTTTAATCCCACGATGTGGATGACGGCAGAAGCTGCAGAAGGAGCGTGGAGGTGGGGAGAGGGTGGTCACATCACCAGGCCCTGCCAGGGACGAGGGTGGCAGTCTCCACCACCTTTGACGGCTATACCACCCTCACCTCTAAGGCATGGCTATCTGGGAGGAAGAGGGTGGTCATGGTCTCAGGAGGGTCTGAAGCTGACCCTGCAGCCACAGATGACCCCCAGGGGGCCCTGGGAGGCAGGAAGACGGTGAGGGAGGACAGCATCAGCTGGGACCCTGACACTGTTGGGCGACAGGCAGCAGGCCCACCTTTATTTTTACCATCCTTTGACCATTAACATGTCACTGAGTACATAACACTGCGGCCCGGCCCCCTAAATCAGTGGGGTGCTGTTGACCTTTCCCAGGCCAGGGTTCCAGCTGAAGACTGCTGTGTGCGTGCACATGTATGTGGCAGGGGGGTGGGGGTCATGGCTCTGAGGCAGTTGTGGCGTTTTTTTGGTGTTCTGAGCTATATATGGAGAAAGCCTAGCCTTGGCTTTCCAGGGAGGGGAGGGAGGGGTAGTCAGGGTCCTGGTAGACTTCCTCAGTGATCCCTGGGCAGCTGGCAGGAAACTAGTGGAAAGTGGGAGTCCCCAGGAAGCCCCAGCCTGTGGATTGGTAAATTATAGATCCAGACCCTCACCCTGCCCACTCAGGAATCACAGGTAGACAGAACCTTCCAAAAGGCTGACCAGGGTATGGCCCTGGTCTCATGACCCAGTCTCCTTCCTGGTCATTCCATGCCTCAGTGTGGGGTCACTGAGGGCTGAGCCCAGTTCAGAGTGGAGTAAGGCCACTGGGCTAGGCTTGTGCTTCGAAGACCTAGGGTGCCGAGGAGCTGATGTGCCAATCTCTTGGCTGGCCAGGGTGCTTCCTTGGGTACAGAGAAGGTGGCCTAGTCCTCCTGGGGCCTGTCCACGCTGAGGAAAGTATCTGTGGTGGTGGCAGAGGGCCGCTCCGGGTCGCTGAGGGGCAGCTTCTCACGGTTCTGTTCAGCCCTTGCCCGGGTCCAGGATGGGGATCGGAGACAGCCAGCCCGCGGCAGTGGGTGCAGGCCTGGTAGGGACACAGAGCAGGGGTTGGGTCAGCGCAGCTGGTGGTGGGCTCAAGAGAGACCTGTGTGTGCATGTATGGGTGCAGGCGTGTTTGTGTGTCTCCTGTGGGTGTGTCCCTTCAGCCTCTTTCCTGCTTTCATCAGTCTTCCCCAGGACAAAGGAGCCCTGGCGTTGCAGTGGGTTAAGCACTTAACTGAAAGGTCAGTGGTTCAATTCCATCAGCTGCTCCTCGGGAGGAAGATGAACTTGTCTGTGTTTAGTCTTGGAAACCTTAAGGAGCAGTTGTACTATTTTGTAGGGGTCATTATGGGTCAGAATTGACTCTACAGATGTGGAGATCTGATTCCCCAGGGCACATCCCATACCCTTCTGGCAAGGTCCAGGCAGTGGGCTTGTCCTGGGGATGGGTAGAGCTGGACCGTCCTTCCTGCTGGCTGCCCCTGCTGCTGTTTGGGGTTCTGAGATCTCAGGAATCAGTGGGAAACTCAGTCAGGGCTGAGCGGGTGGGGGACGGTAGAGGCTACAGCAGTAAGTGCCCTCAACTGCTGGGCCTACGTGACCTAGTGACCCCCTTCCCATGGCACTGATGGTTGGTTGGTAAAACTGACTTAAGGGAGGAGGCAGGACACATCTGAGGCAAAATTATTTTCACGAGCGCATTTGGAGGGGGAGCAGTGTCTAGGCACAGTGACCAGAGCCACCATCTCTGGTCCCCAGGGTTTCCTAGCTGGCCTCACTGCCCATTCCCACAGCACATACCTGCTGGGGAGTCGTTAGCAAGGTTCTCGTCGTCTGAGTCAGCGAAGACCTCGGCCAGCTCCTGGTCTGACATGTCCGTCAGCTCTGTGAGGTCCAGGAGGTCGAAATGCACCTCCAGGGAGGAGACGCTGCTCAGGGGCTCTGGGGGTGGGGGCCGGGGGGGGGGTGTCAGTGCCCTTCTGAGACCCGTAGCTGGAACATGCTCTCAGGTGGATGTTGGAGAGGCCAGTTCTCACCCTGTCTCAAAACCGACTCCTACCCTTCCATGGCTTAGGAAGTTAGCTTACGGGGATTCTGGGAACATGCTGGGCGGATTGGTCATACTTACGTCTCCGCTCTGTGACCTGCAGAAGTCCTGGCACAGGTATGGGGATGCCTACCTCCTCTTCTGTCACAGGTGTGTGGCAGCCACCCCCCGGGCCATGGGCTGGGACACCCAGGGCAGCCTGGGGCACCTCAACCTCTTTAATGAGCTCTGAAAGTAATGATAAGGGGCTGTTACTCGAGATTCTAGGTCCACACCCTGTCCACCCAGGCCACAAGAGCAAGGCTTCTGAGTAATGCCAGTGTGGACAGGAAGGACCTGGAGAGTCGGAGTCAGCAACACCAGGATGGATCTGGGCCATCTGTGGGGTGAGAAGCCCCATTCTGCAGACTAACTTTTCCTGTCAAAAAAACTCTGCATTTGAATTCAAAATAACAAGGCCTTCTCCTTGCAGAGAAAGTTACCAAACAAAAATAGACAGCAGGGCCCCGCCACTGCCTCCACCCACCAGGATTCACTGTAGACTTTAAAAAAAAATGTAATGCTCTGTTTTTATACTTAACTGTGTGCATGTTTGCACGTTCTGCTGGGTAAGAGATGCACCCCCACCTCATACTACACCAGACTCTACCTTCCTCATGGAGGGCCCAGGCCCACTCAGCCTGCCCCACCCCTGGCTCCTGCTAAGAACCCCCATTGTTCGTATCTTGGATATCTTTTCCTCACACTCTCCACCCACAAATCCTTCTACCTCTTCCTCTACTTCTCATGGCACTTCCAGGACCAGTGGCTGTCCCTTTGCCACAGGATCCTCATTAGGGCCTGCTCTGACTGGCCTGCATTGCCCTTCGCACACCTGAGCAGGTACTTAGAAAAAGGGATGAAGAACCAGAGGGTCCCAGCCAGATGCTCAATGGAGCCGGCTGTTGTTTCCTGTGCTCTGCCCCCCACCTCCCAGCCCCAGTGCCGGAGGTGGGGGCAGGTGTGTGTGACCCTTGCCAAAGGTCTGAGTGTGGTATCCTGTATAAGAGCTGATGGCCCAGGCAATGAGAGTAATTTGAGCAGTCTGAAAGCTGCTGAGGGGCCCAGAGACAGCTGCTGCTGAAGACTGTGCCTGCTAGAGCTCGAGTCTGTGGTCTGGAGGGTCCTTGAGGCGACACCTCCCCCCACCCCCTGGAGCCAAGGCGTCCTCCCTCCAGAAGTCCTAGGGTGGTGGAGAGTCTCCATCCACGGTGACTGTGTCATTGGTGGCTCATCCCAGGCTGGGTGGCAGGGGATTAGGTTTCCACTACACCGACATTAGGAATGAGGTTCCCAGCAGTGGTGGAGGGTAGAGTTACACCTACCAGCAAGGACACTTCTCACCCAGAGGGCAGGAGAGGTGTGATGCAGGCCTTTGGAGCCAGGATGAGCCATGGTGTCCAGCAGGGCACCCTGGGACTGCCTGCCCTCAGGGAAAGAGAGGCCTCTGAGGTCACTAGGAGGGCTCAGCCCCAGCCCTTCCTGATCTAGGGCCCAGCAGGACAACGAAGACTCAGTCACAGCCTGGTGGGCACCCATACCTACAGCCTTGAGGGAAACAGGCACAGGGTGGCAAAATGCAGTTCAACATGACACCTACTCTATCCATGTTGACTCAGGTTCTGCTCTGGGAGCCTAGGCTAAGGAAGGCCACAGGCATGTCCACTGGCCAAACTCAAGGTACTGATGCTCTAGCCTGACGCTGTGGGGTCAGAGGAGATACTTGCCCAGGAAAGATGACCTTGGCACAGAAAATGGTGCAGCTGCTGAAGGCAGTTTGGCAGTTCCTCAAAAAGGTAAACATACAGTTACCATATAATTCAGCGATACCGTCCCTACGTATATACCCAAGATAAATGAAAACATAGGTCCTCAGAAAAATGTACGCAGGAATTTCATAGCATTGTTCCGAACAGTGGAGTCCTGGTGTGCTGTGCATTAATGTGCTGGACTGCAAAGTTGGTTTGAACCACAGAGAGTTGGTGGTTCAAGCTCCCCAGGTGCTCCTCGGTAACGCTATACAGGGTTGCGATGGGTCAGAACCAACTCAATGGCACTTAACATTCATAATGGAAGCAGCTCAAATGTCCATCAACCAATGAAAGGGTAAACAAAATGTCCATCCAAGCAATGGAATATTGTTAAGTGCCATTGAACTGGTTCCAACCCATAGTGACCCTGTACAGGGTCTCCAAGGAGCAGCTGGTGAGTTTGAACCGCTGACCTTACAGTTCAAACTGACTTTGTAGTCCAGCACAGCAACACACAGCGCCACACCAGGACTCCAATGCAATATCACTTAAGCATAAAAAGGAATGAAGTTCTACATGCTACAACCTCGAAAACAGTACGTAGAATGATCTAAGCCCCATATGGCAAGGTCCCATTTATATGAAATGTCAGAACCGGCAAATCCATAGAGACAGAAAGTAGATTAATGATTTCCAGGGGCTGGTAGTGGGAGTAGGAAGAGTGGGCATGCCTCCTAATGGATACACGGTTTCTTTTTGGGGAGATTATAATATAAAGGAGGCTCTGGTAGTGCAGTGGTTATGAATCGGGCTGTGAGCCGCAAGGTCAGCAATTCAAAACTACCAGCTGTTCCACGGGAGAAAGATGAGGATTTCTGCTCCCGTAAAGATTTACAGCTTTGGAAACCCTGTACAGGGTCGCTGTGAGTCGGAACTGACTCCACGGCACATGGCACATAATGGAACTAGATACAGGTTAGGGTTACATTGTGAAAGTACTAATTGTCACTGAATTGTACACGTTAATGGGGGGGATTTTTTCTCAAACACAAACCAAAAGCCCTCAATGAAAACAAACAGGCAAGCAAAGGTGCCTGGCCAGAGAGTTGGGCAGAGCACATAACACGGTAGGTTGCCAACTGGGATTGCGCATGAACCACCTGGACTTGCAGGCAGAAACCCCAGCCCTGTGTTCCTTCCTGTACTCCCAGGTCCAGGATTGGTGGGGTGGCCAGGGTCTGGGGCAGTTAAGTAGTGGCTATGGAATTGCCAGGTCTGTTGGCCTCCCATGCCCAAGGAAGAAGGGGCTCTCCACAGGTGAGGCCACACCTCCTGGACAGGGAGCAGAAGGCTGAGGGCACAGGTATTGCATCAGTGACTCTTGGCTTTCCTTGGCTTGACCAAGAGCCCCTTCCTGGGTTGGCCAGGTTTTGGGGCCCAGGGCCCTAATTTTGGGCCCCAGCACAGTGCCTGAACTGTGGGTGGGCATGTGCCAGTATACCACTGCAGAGAAAAGTTGGGGTGCCACGGTGCCATCCCACCCTGGGCTGCTAGGTCACTTGGCTGACCTATTTTCTAACACACCTGTGCTGGGGTTGCCTGGAGCAGTGAGGGGCAGGCATAACCCATGAATGAGCAACACCATAAAAACAGAATGGCTGTGCGGAGGACAGATGGTCACAAAGGTGGTCACCTATACCCTGGTTCCCCAGCATTTTTATCCCTCTGAGCACACACACACACAGTGGCTAGCTGTTTAATCCTTCAGACCCAGGTTCCCCCAGATTTTCCTGGGGATGGGGTAGGACTCTGGTTTTCCAGAGATATTAGGGTCCTTAAAAGAGAGGATTCCACATCCTCACCCCACACTCTCACCTCAGATGTTCACCTGCTACTGCCAGGCGTGACTTTCAACACCCTGCTTTCTAATTTCATAAACCAGATACGCCTTTGGAGCGCCGACTGACATATAGCAGATAAAACGGCAAGATACTAAGTTTTCATTCTTTTAGGTGTGAAAATGGTGTTATAGCTCTGCTCTGCAAAGCCTTCACCTCCTAGAATTTTTGAACTATTTAAGGTGAGATAATGCGTCTGAATTAGGAATTGAGGTTGGCAGTGGTTGGGCTGAGGTTCTGGGGCTGGGAGGTGGCCCCTGGGGTTTCATGACGCCTCTGCCAATTTCTGTGTTTTCAGTCCACAGCCTCAAAAGAGAGTTCAAAAGTGAAAGCTCAGGTCCACTGACCCAGCTGCCAGCACCACAGGAGAGGAGATCTCTGAGACCCAGCTATGGAGAGACGCCTGGAGTGGGAACCCTTTGAAGACAGGGCCCCAGTCAGGAGGGGCAGACACAGGACCTGCAGGCCCTCTGTGGTCCCTGACTGCTCCCTGCCCTTCTCCAAACACTTGGCCATGCATCTTTCAATGTGGCTCCTGCATCCTACAGTTAGGGTGGAGAACTCTGACAAGTGTGGAAACTGAGGCTCATGGGGAAGGGTCAGTTTGACATCTGTCTCCCCAAGCCCTTGTTTTTCAGAGCACCTCCACCCTGTCTTCACAGGGTGGCTCCTGGGAGCGCTGGTGTGTCTGGGGGTGCTCAGAGGTGGGACAAGGTCTCCCCACCATGTGTCTGCTGTTCTCCAGGGTGGCAGCACCTCAGCCTAGGTGCCCTAGGTTCTCTAGGCCACACAGTGCAGAGCAACCTCTGCTCCCTGACACTTGGGCTCAACAGGAAGGTGTGGTGTGTGGCTGGTGACCAGTCAGGGCCAAGTACTACTATAGGAATGGGGGGCTAGGGGATGGGGCCTGACCAGACTTGGAGGAACTGGACAATTGAGCTCCAGCTTGCATGGCCGCACAAACGCTCCAGAAACCGCGGCCGGCCAAGACCCGCTTTTCCTAGAGTTTTCCTTTAGTCTCCAGTCTCAGCTTTGCCTGGGACCAACGCAGAGGGGCGAACCCAACGGTCAGGTCCCACCCACCACTGTAGCAGCTGACACGGGTGTGAGGAGGGCAGCCGTGCACACTTGCTCTTCCAGACGTGCGCTCCGGGCCTTCCCTGCGGCCGGGCGCCCTAGCAGGCCGTAGCCCCCCAACGCGGCACCTGCGCCCACAGGACCCGGGCCCGATATCCCCCCTCCTCCTGAACCGCGGCGAACAAAGCAGACACGCGGCCCAGCGGGCAGCGTCAACCCCCTCTCCAAGCCTCCTGGACCCCAAACCTGGCCGGACCGCGGCTCCTTCCCCTCCCTTCAGGACTCGACCCCGGCTGGGTTCGGGGTAAAACTCTAAGTCCCCTACAAGATGCGCGCCAGGCTCAACTGCCGGGGCCTGGGCGGGGACCCGACCTGCCAGGAAGGAATCTGGGCGCTCCTAGCCCCAACACAAATGCGGCTGGGGGTCGTTCCGGAATGTGTCCCCCTTGGACAGTCGGAACCCTCTCTATTGACGGAGACAGTCGCGCCAGGCGGAGCCGGCTTAAAACTGCGGGCGGGTCCCTGCGGCCCCCGAAAGGCGATGGATGGGCCCGGGGGTGGAATTATAGCTGGAGGCCGGGAAGGTACGCTGGGGTTGATGGGGATCCTAGGGTGCACTCACCTCGCGGGTCGGCGCCCTTCGGTGGCTCCATGCGTCTGGTGGGGCCGGGGCGGGGTGTGTACGGCGGCGTGACCCGGCCGGGGCGCCCCTGCAGCGGCGGCGGCGGCTCGCTCTCGGCCGTGGCTCCGGGCGCTGCGCATCGGGGCGGCGGGCGGGGGGCCTCGGCGGCGGAGGAACCCGCGGGGCGGGGCGCAGCTGCTCCCAAGGCTCCGGCCCCCCCAGCCCATCCCTAGCCCGCCGGGACAGGTGCGGCCCCGCCCCGCCCCGCGTGCGCCCCCTGCCGGCCCGGGGACCCTCGCGTAATCCCCCCTATTCCACAGACCCCCTCCTCACCCGCGTTACCTCACCCACCTGCGGACCCCCACCTCCACGATCCTTATCTCCTGAGGATCCCGCTCCCCAGTGAACCCCATTACTCTGTGAACTTGCCTTTGCTGCAGAACCCTTTTCATAACCCTCCCAGTCCACCCCATGAAAGCCCTCTTCCCCGAGGACCCCGCCTTTTTCTGTGGTTCCTCCCTCCCCTGCAGACCCCTCCCCCATCTGCGTGCGCTTTCACCCAGCCTCGAGGACTTACTGGTTCCCTACCTTTCTTCCTCTTTAAATGTTATTTTCTTGTTGTTGACAAAATTGTAAAATATACAGGTTCTAGGTGTGGTGCTGTGGGTTAATGCGCTGGACAGCAATGTCGGTTTGAACCACAAGGTCAGCGGTTCAAGCTCACCAGACGCTCCTCAGAAACCCCCAACTCGACAGCACTTATGCACAATAACAAATATAATTCACTGTCGTTGATTACATTCTTCAAGTTTTGTAACCTTTCTTGGTCACCAATTCTGAGTTCTTCCTCTCTCATGAACAGACTCACGGCCCCCTAAGGTTTTCTATCCAATCTTTTGCGTTGCTGTTGAACCATGCAGATAAGTTCATAATGCTCAAGGCCTTTTTTTTTTTTTAAACTAGTTAAGCTAAATTATTGTTTTGTTTTTAAGAAGTCTTCAGGGGATATATTATTTGATCTAAGATTTAAAGATTTCACAGCAATGGTTTTAGGGGTTCGTTCACCCTCCATGGCGCCAGAAAGTGTAGTTATTGTTGGGTTGCTTCTAACTCATAGCAACACTGTGTAGGGTTTCTGAGGAGCAGCTGGTGAGCTTGAACTGGTGACCTTGCAGTCCAGAGCATTAACCCCAGAAAGTCTAGAGTCCATGAGAATTTGAAACTCTGTTCTGCATTTCCCTCTTTGTGCTCAGGATTTGTTTATGAATATTTTGATCAAAATGTTCAGTAATGGTAATGGAGGGCACCATCCATGTCTTGTGGTTTCATGGCAAAGCAGAGGCCTTGTTAGCCACGTGGTCCATATCTTCTCCTATTCCTGACTCACCTTCTTTCTCTCTTGCTCGAGGTGAGTAAAGACCAAGTGTGTGGGATGCCACTTGCAAGCTCTGAGGATCACAAGCACTACCCAACAAACTAGGAGGTAGATCAGCAACTGTAAACACATGATTAGGTCATGAAGCCATGACCCCAAACTTCCAAACCAAGAAAATGTGTTTGGTGGTACCTAAGCAGCTCTTCTTTTTCTGTTCCTTATTTTTTTTTTTTTTTTGTCGTTGTTGTAAATATATCTATCACACAACTTTGCAAGGGCAAGACCATTGGGTCGGTGATCTATGGTGACAGAAAGACTGAACAGGTACTTAGGTCTGCAGTCATAGGTTGTGATACATTAAGAAAGACAGGAAAGGGGACTACAAGCAGTGAGTCTCTGGGTGGGGCCAGTGTAGGCAGCGTGTGGGGGGAGGGCCAGTGAGGACATGTAGGGAAGGAAAGGAGGGGATGGATGAGCAGAGCAAGAGGGGTCTAAATCCAGTCCCCTCTCCATACCCACAGAGTCTGCTGTGTGAGGCCCCACACACCAGCCATGGACTAAGCAGTCCCAGCAAGCAGGCTCTGTCAGTTCCCCTAATGACTTTAGAAGGAGGTACTAACCCCCAGCGAGATGGAATGGCAAAGTGGCAGCATCAATGGGCTCAAACATGGCAACGATTGTGAGGTTGGCCCAGGATCGGGCAGTGTTTCGTTCTGTTGTGCATAGGGTCGCTATGAGTTGGGACCGAGTCGATGGCAGCTAACAACAACAACAACTTTCCATGGAGCAGCTTTTCCAGGTTGGAAGCACAGATGGCTTGCTGAGGCAGCACAGCCGGGTGCCCTGAAGCCAGACTCTGAACCCAGAAACCACGCTCTGCACAAACTAAACCTGAGAAGAACATTAAAGAGGTTTGTTTTCAGCTGGGAGTGCAGAAGCCTCCTAGAGGAAGGAGGTAGGTACTCATCTGGCCTCTACAGTTGGACCTGAAAGGCACCCCAAGAGGGGCCAGAGCCATTGTAATCAATGTATCTTCAGTCAGGAATGTTGGGCACTAAAGGCTCTCTGTTTTGGCCAGCTGCACCCAAGCCCTGGCCTTTGGGTGTCAATATCAAGGTGCCAGTAAATAGTCATTCGCACACACACACACACACACACACACACATATCACTTCAAAACAAAAAAAATTAAGCTGGTGCTTGCAACCCTCTAAAAAGGTCTGTTGCCTCCCTGGGAACTCATGAAGCTGAGAGCCTCACAAACATAAGGAACTGCAGGATGGACAGTGGGCCAGAGCAAGCACAGGACTGCTCCGTGGTGAAGTCAGGAACACCTGCCACTCAGCATCAGTTGGGATGGCAGGTAATGGTCACAGCAGAATTTCTGGTCTTCCAGAATCTTCCACTTCTGTGGAGACCCCCTTAGTCCATCTCTATTCCTTCTGCCTGAACCTGGGTGAGTTCAGTAGGATGTTGTGAAGTGATATTATTATATAACTTCCAAGGCTGGGTCATAAAAAGGAGTCAGCAGAAGTTGGCTCTCTCTCCCAGAACACTCACCTTGGAACCCAGCAGCCATGCTATGAAGCAGCCCAGGCCACACAAGATGCCAGCCTGTGTGTGCTCTGGCCTCAGCTCCAACAAAGTCTCAATCAGTAGTCAGATGGGATCAAGTCTACTGATAATTCCAGATCCTGTCTTTAAGCTGTTCTTATGGTGATGAGCAGAGGCAAGGTAAGTTGTCCCCAACAAGTTCTGGCCAAACTGTAGATTCATGAGCAAATCATTGCACTAACTCACTACATTTGGGGGCAACTTGCTATGTAGCCCTAGTAACTGTATTAGTAATTATTAGTTAATAAGTATTCCTACTTTAGGGGTGAATAACTAATACAGAGGAATCTGACTCTGGAGGCCAGCATCTAATTTTTATTTTTTGCTGAGAACAATTTCAAACAGACAAAAGTAGAGCAAACATCACAGTGAGTCCCATGAGTCCATTGTTCAGAGTCAAATATGACCAACTCGTGGCCAATCTTGTTTCTTTTATAGCCTGATCCCGAACCTTCCCACCTCAGGTTCTTTTGAAGTAAATCCTATAAGCTTTAGATCATTTCATGTGTAACTACTTTACCATTTATCTCTAAAAGAAAGGAGAGTCCAGTGTTTCTTAAACAGTCTGTTGTGCAACACCCAAGCATCCAGGGGGCTGACCTGGTAGCCTCTGGCAGTTTGTCTGAGGAGACCAAACATTGGGGAAATGGCCAATTTATGTGGATTAATATTTGTTCTGGGTTTTAGCAGGAAATGCAGATGACATTTGTCTGAGTTTCTGAGCTACACAGCTTGATCTATGTGAAGAATGGCTATTTTCCAAAAATCTTAAATGCAATATAAAAAACTGAGGTCCCTGTTGGGAGCCAGGGGCACGGCAGCTGGGCGCCTACACAATTCATCTCTATAATCCACACTGATATGAATAGAACACACCACTCAGTTGGTTTCCTGACAGATGAATACCCTGTCTTGGCTATCCTGAGCTAACCCTTTTCTCACCTTTCTATGAAAAGAATGATTGCTAATGCATTTACTTAATTCAATACTCACAGTCAGACTTAAAAAAAAAAAAAAAGGCCAATCATCATGAAGCAACTAACACACTGGGTCTTTGAGAAAGTGTTAAAATAATAATATTCACTCCACAGTGCTACCCAGCTGTCCTGTCTTACCTGCCAGACCTCTGTGTCATGGGTGGCAGGGGGAAGAGGCCCATTTTGTCAGTGGAGTCACAAAGGCCTCAGAGGCCTACTATTGAAAAATTATGACTCCATCCTTGGAACTGGCTGCTCCTCTCTAGAAAGAAAGGCTCTCAACCTCGTCACAGTAACCTCAGAAGCCAGGCTGCCTGATGACTGAGGCACTGCTTCTCTTTAAGCTGGATGAGAATACCTGACCCTCTGTTGTTACTCACATTCTGCCCTCCACGTAGCTCTCCAGGGATAGAAAATTCCAGAATCATCTCTACTGAAAACAGATGGGAAAACAAGATCTACCACAAAACCAATATTCAAGAAAATGCTAAAGCTGAGAGCATAGCATAAATGACAAATGGTGTGTAAAAATGGGTGCCTGCTTAGGACAAATTCTCAGGCTTCCGAGAGACCTGGTCCTCACGTCTATGAGTAAGTAGGTACTAGGGTAGTGGTGATGGATGGGAAATTCACTTTGGAAATCATAAGATGGCTAGCATTTTTTTTTACTCACTTCTTTATCTTTTGGGCTCTGGTAGCATAGTGGATTATGAGTTGGGCTGTAACCAAACCTACCAGCTGTTCCACGAGAAAAAGATGAGGTTTCCTGCTTCTGAATAGATTTGCTGCTGTTATGTGCTGCGGAGTTGGTTCTGAATCACAGCGACTCTGTACAGGGTTTCTGAGGCTTTCTTCCTGTGGAACAGCTGGTAGTTTCAAACTGCTAACCTTAAGGTTCACAGCTTGATTCATAATCACTACGCTTCTAGAGCTCCTTAGTTGTTGTTGTTAGGTGCCATCGAGTCGGAACCGACCCATAGCGACCTTATGCACGGCAGAACGAAACACTGCCCGATCCTGGGCCAACCTCACTACTGTTGCCACACTTGAGTCCATCGATGCTGCC